TAATATAACTGCTTACCTTGTATTAATTTTATCTTATCGGACGTCGATTTGCTTGCCACTGTATCCGATGCTATCATATTCGCGTTGAGAATGATACTTAAACGTGAATTATCGGTTAACTATGGCTTAATTAGTTGCCTAAACAGTCGTTTTATTGCGCAATAGTCCGGTGCTCTTGCTGTATACCTAGAGATTCTTTATAAAATCCAAAGAAGAATCAGTAATATTATTTGTCCTGGCCTGGCGTCTCGAATTCGGTCACTTTCACGCCGCCTTAATGTAGTTTCCCTGTGCATTTAGCATAAATATTTTCATAGTAATTGTTGAGATGAACTCTTCGCTATTATGCCAAGACTTTATGAATTTAAGCTCAGTTCTAGATTAGCGGTAAGATCGCATCAATTCACAGTTGAATTGGCTAGATGTAACCGCAAGTTCTATGCTAACAGTTTCTTTTCTTGAACTTCTTGCTTGTGGAACTCTCTTTCGACCCCATGCTCTCCAGTCAACTTTAATCTTCAAAAATTTAAACTCAATGTCAATCGTTATCTACTGTCTTCTTGATTATTCTTCTATATTTCTCACCCGTTGATGTTTTCTTTTCTTTATTCTTTCACACTCAGTAACCCCTTGTGTCTTTGTGGATTTACTGTCTTGCAGGGGGTGAAATGATTAACAAAAATGTTGCTTTTCGATGAGATCATATCATTTAACGTTGTCATACTAAAGTTTTCTGTCCTTCGTCAGCTAAAAAAAAAACTGTTTAGCCCAACGTCTAACACGAAGTTTAACGACAAGAATAAGTGAGTCCATACCGAGATGTATGACCGCTTGGGAATACTAGATGCCGTAAGCATGTATGTACAGATGGTGTAATGGATAATGGCTAGGAATTGTTAATCAGAGAACCAAGTTCCAATACACGTTGGTTCCGTTATATTAACTTACACATAAATACCCTTGAAAAAGGTACGAATCCACTTTCTCTCCCCTCCTCCAGCTATAGGTGAATTAGTAACACTTGTATCGCTAAACCCTTATTATCACCAAAAATTCTAACAAGGGTTGATAAGACGTAGAAAATGAATCAATCAAACAATAGAATAAGTGAAATACGCTATCTTTGTTTTTGTTTTTGTTTATTCTAACTTCGAGCGAAATTATTCAATCACAAATTGTCTTACGATGGTGAATTGAAATATTTTCAGCCGAGTCTCGTACTGGTGGTTTTCGGAATTGAATCTGGCGGAACGACTTTTCAGCACCCTCCTGTGTACTGTATTTGCAAAATTTCCAAACCTTTGTAGCTCTAAGCTAGTGTTTCTTAACCATTTTTTAGTCACAGGCCCCTTAAGTCTCGGATCCCTAGAGTCACGGACCCCTACAATCACGTACCCTTGAGGCACGGACCTCTTGAGTCACGAACTCCTACAAGAACTAGTCCTTCATAGACAGATAGACAGACAAGAAGATATTCACGGTCTGATTGTTTTTTCCCAACACTTGTACGTGCGTTTCTCCTTACTGCACCATCATGCATATTGCACATGCATATCACTTTTCAGCCAGCCATGCTTGAAAGAAATTGTGGTCAATTAATCGTCACCGGTATCTGAGAAGATAATCAAGTCGTGATAAAAAATGAGAATTATCACTTTTTCTTATGGAGTGGAAAAGATGGCGGTCGCGAAGAGATTGGTTGCTCACATTTAAATGGTAAACATGGAGCTAACAATTAGTATTTTAAAAAACCACTGTTATAAGCGAACCGATCGCCATATATGCCTGATGACTTGAGAAACCATGAAACTTTAATTTGTACTATATACATAGATATATGGGTATTTATTAATATATGCTTCATAGTTCTGTTTAACTATATTGAGCACTGTTTTGTTTGCACCAAAATTAAATTAAATCAGCATATGCACGCTATCGAACACATATACAGCTGCTAATATCTGGTCATTTAATTTATATTCACACACACACACACACTCATATATATATATATATATATATATATATATATATATATATATATATATATATATATATAGTCTAAAGATCGTTTGAAGTATGAAACAGACAGTCACTATACCGTGGTGTTGATTTCTTTTTGCGTTCAAATTTCTATATCTACAAACAGTATAAATATATATATATATATATATATATATATATATATATATATATATATATGTGTGTGTGTGTGTGTGTGTGTGTGTGTGTTTGTGTAACAGCGTATATATATATATATATATATATATATATATATATATATATATATATATATAGAGAGAGAGAGAGAGAGAGAGAGAGAGAGATGTAACAGCGTTTCCCCTTACGAGTGGTGGTTAATTAATTTGAACCTTTTTAAACCTTTATTCTACAATAAACATTCAACATCATCACTTGATAAGACACCAGAGATTTTGAAACAAAATGGCTATTTTTGTAGTGATTTTATAACATATCTATGTTATAATTTTTAAATAAATAATTATATTGGCTCTATTCTGTATTGAGTTCTCTTTTAAGAATAGTAATTGTTGGTTATTGGAATTTATTCCGTATACACCAATCATATACTTGGTTTTATATATATACATATATATACTTGAAATATATATATTACTAGATAATTTTATTTACAGCTCTTTCCTTGGTCTGTTTATCAAATACGAACATAAGCACACATTTATCTATCTATGCATCTATCTATCTTCACACACATATACAAGTACATAATCACACACACAGACACACACATATATATACATATATATATATGCTTGTGTGATATATATATATATATATATATATATATATATATATATATATATATATATATATATATAAGTCTCAACATCGTTTGAAGTATGAAACTGACAGTCACTATACGGTTGTGTTGATTTCTATCTGTGTCCAAAATTTCGATATCTACAAATGCTACATATATATATATATATATATATGTGTGTGTGTGTGTGTGTGTGTGTGTGTATGTGTGTGTGTGTGTGTAGTGTGTGTGTGTGTGTGTGCTCTGATATTGAATATTTTTGCATCATAAATACAGCAAACTTTGAACTATATATATATGTGTGTATTTGTGTTTGAGAAGGTGTATGTTATATATGCATCTATTTACTCATGAATTGATATATCCCCATATAATATCCATATGTTCTTGTATGTATCAACGTTTTGTTTGTTTTGTATTTACAAACTGATGTTTGTTTTGCACTCTGCGTTCAGAAATTACCTCCCCTGTATTTCTGTCAAATTACGTTATATTTTCTCGCATTTAAACGTCTTAACAAAATTCAGCCACTTTTTTTATGAAAAAAGTAAAGTAAAAAACCGCCAATTACTGTCGTTCGAAACCAATCAAATCCGCCTGTGAACACATCTGCTTTCTTTCTTTGACAATCACATCCGTAAAACTACTACATATATTACTTTTGATGCAAACAAAATGAATGGAGAGAATTTTCAAACTTCTTATGGCTTTCAGATTTCAAAGTTTGCAAAATAAATGCATAATCTTTGAATGTATACAGTAACCCACTGAAAATGGTTAGGAAAACTGCTAACTCTTCCCGGAGATAGATGCGCATATCAATTAATAATGGAAGCACTTTGCTCGTACTGAGAGTGTTGGGAGCAAGCTGAGTGATGACAAATGTTTATGCTTTGCCAGTGGACGTATTGTAGTGAGAAATTAGTTGCATGTCATTTCCAGGTTCTGGAGAATTGTTTCAAAAGAAAACATTGCCTGAACTGAAGATAGAAATAAAGAAACAATAAGAGAAATTTTTATTTTATTTCTATCAGTCATTTTTTCATTCTGCTGCAGACTTCATGCCTTCCCCACGGTCTATAATATTAAGAGTAATAGGCCTTACCCTGACTTACCTTGCTAAACCAACTAAATAAATTGGTTTACGTGTATATGTTTGTGTGTGTGTCTGTGTGTCTGTGTGTGCCTTTGTGTCGGTGTTTATAACGCGTGATTGTCTTGAATATCGCTATACTGAGAAAGAAATATCTTCATGTGTGTGAAAGTGAGGCGCTATGGATGTGGCCTATGAGCCCAGGAGACAAAAGCTAGAAATATTTAGGGAACGACAGATTTGGGAGTGTGTGTGTGTGTGTGTGTGTGTGTGTGTGTGTGTGTGTGTGTGTTGACGAAAGTGAATCTGCTAATGTTTGGAGGAATTTTTCAGAGGGCGCTGTCTTCGAGTCGACGTTTGCAATTGCGTCTCAAAATCATTATTTATGGCATTGTGATACCGATATATATATATATATATATATATATATATATATATATATATATATATATATATATATATATATTCTTCAGTGCTGCAAACAGTCTTCAGGAAATGTGACATGGTCATTTTTATAATCCTTTTCTTAGTTGAGAGGGTTTGGACATGTTTGGAATAATTCACTCCACAGAAAAACTTGAAGATTAAATCTCTGAACCGTTTCTTTTTCATTATTTTTTTTCAATCTATCTCCCAAATTCCTAGCACCTCACCAATTCCTTGGTACAAAGAAAAGTTTCACAATCAAGCAGTTATTTAATATTACAACCAAGTATAAAAAAGAGCACTTATAATCAGAATCAGATAGAAATTTCTTGAACACATAATGATGAAGCAAGGCTTGGAAAACTTAACTCTCACAAGGCATAACGAGTGAAAGGGAGATAATGAAAGGCAGCTACCTGACAAACTTGTGTGAGTGGATTACAGAAGAGGCGGCGGTAGTCTTAGAAAAGGGAAAAACACTGCTAAGGACCACAAGAAATAGGACATTGTGGATAGTCATGATCGCCTAAAATACATAAAAGTTTACACATTCCAATTTTTTGTTTTGATCTTGTTTTTTGTTATTTTTTATAAGAGTATGTTATCTCCTTTATATCTACTCCTTTCTAAGAGTATGGTATCTACTCCTTTATATCTACTTTTCCTTTCTAAGTTTCTATGGTATCTACTTTCCTTTATATCTACTCCTTTCTAAGAGTATGGTATCCTACTCTTTTATATCTATCTCCTTTTTCTAAGAGTATGGTATCTACCCCTTTATATCTACTCCTTTCTAAGAGTATGGTATCTACTCCTTTATATCTACTCCTTTCTAAGAGTATGGTATCTACTCCTTTATATCTACTCCTTTCTAAGAGTATGGTATCTACTCCTTTATATCTCTCCTTTTCTAAGAGTATGGTATCTACTTTTTTCCCTTTTCTAAGAGTATGGTATCTACTCCTTTATATTCTAAAGTATGGTATCTACTGCTTTTATATCTACTCCTTTCTAAGAGTATGGGTATCTACTCCTTTATATCTAAGAGTATACTCCTTTCTAAGAGTATGGTATCTACTCTTTTATATCTACTTTCTAAGAGTATGGTATCTACTCTTTATATCTACTCCTTTCTAAGAGTATGGTATCTATATCTACCTTTTATATCTACTCCTTTCTAGTATAGTATCTACTACTCCCTTTTTTATATCTACTCCTTTCTAAGAGTATGGTATCTACTCTTTTATATCTACTCCTTTCTAAGAGTATGGTATCTACTCTTTTATATCTACTCCTTTCTAAGAGTATGGTATCTACTCTTTTATATCTACTCCTTTCTAAGAGTATGGTATCTACTCTTTTATATCCTTTCTAAGAGTATGGTATCTCTTTTATATCTTTCTAAGAGTATGGTATCTACTCCTTTTATATCTACTCCTTTCTAAGAGTATGGTATCTACTCCTTTATATCTACTCCTTTAAGAGTAGTATCTTTTATATCTACTCCTTTCTAAGAGTATGGTATCTACTTCCCTTTAAGAGTATGGTATCTTTTATCTACTCCTTTCTAAGAGTATGGTATCTACTCCTTTATAACTCTTTTATTCACCTTAAGAGTATGGTATCTACTCTTTTATATCTCCTTTATAAGAGTATGGTATCTACTCTTTTATATCTATATCCTTTCTAAGAGTATGGTATCTACTCCTTTATATCCTCCTTTATAGAGTATGGTATCTACTCCTTTATATCTACTCCTTTCTAAGAGTATGGTATCTACTCCTTTATATCTACTCCTTTATAAGAGTATGGTATCTACTCCTTTATATCTACTCCTTTCTAAGAGTATGGTATCTACTCTTTTATATCTACTCCTTTCTAAGAGTATGGTATCTACTCCTTTATATCTACTCCTTTCTAAGAGTATGGTATCTACTCCTTTATATCTACTCCTTTATAAGAGTATGG